AAAGAGTGCAGCTTTGGTAGTTAGAAAGGAACACTCTTGAAGAGAGGTAGGTTCTGTAATTTGAAAGTCTGAAGGTAAGAGTTTTTTGTATTCCTCAGTAAGTGTGGTTGCAATTTGGTATTTAATATAGTTTCTAACTTTATCTTTATTAATTTTAGAGAACTGTTTTTAGTAAGCTTTAAAGAAGTCTGCATACCATGTATTGAAGTTTTGGGTATAAGGTTTGAGTAATGAAATTTGAAAAGTGTTAGTAAATTTGGTTTTAGGAATGTTAAGACTAACAGTAATAGTAAAGCAATTGTTGTAGATACTGAATAAGGGTTTTGGAGTATCATATTCAAAATTGTATTTCATTAATAATTTAAGAGGATAAAGCTCTAGTTTCTCAATGAATTTTTGATAATGAATTGTTTGATATTTATTATGAAGAAATAAGTATAATTGAGCAAAATTAATTGTTACTTTGCAGTGATCAGAGGTGGGATTGAGTAATGAGAATGGAAAATGTGTAAGTAATTAATTTTGGTAAAAAGGAGTTCAGTAAATTTAGTAAGTAGATTTTTAAATATTGAGATATAAGCATATTGTGTAATATTAAGTTGAAGTGAGAGTAATAGATTAAATCGGCAAAGAAAATTTGTAAGAAATTCTAGTTTTTCAGCAGCCATTGTTTTAAGTAGGTAGTTAAAGCTTTGTTTTTGAGAAGGTTTTTGGTTTGTAGTTGGTTGAATATTATTTGAAGTAGAGGGAATTGGTTGGCTAGAAGTGAATTTATGAAGGTGAATTTTTGAGAAATTGAAAAGTTGTTGAGCAACCGATGTATTGAGTTTTATATTTGGTTTCATGTTTTTAGTAATTGGATAGTTAATAAATTAGTCCAGATTATTAAAAGTATCTCTGGATTGGTTAGTTGTGTTTTTTTGTTGTTGGTTTTGTTTTGTTTATTTAGAATTTTGTTTCTTTTCTTTTCCTCTAAGAGTGAGTTTTTGAAGAAAATTGATTTTTTCTTTTTTGGTAAGTTTGTAAAAATAGAAAAGATAAAAAATAGAATGTTGTTCTTTAGTAAATTCTTGAGTTTGAGAGAGAGGTTTGAGTTTAGTATATTGGAGGCTGTGGACATAGTCTGTGAAATAGGAAGTCTTTGAAAATTACAGCTGTAGTGTAGTCTAGTGCATGATGTGTTTCTTAAATAAGAACACATAGAATATCTTTCTTTTTATATAGAGTACATGTATGATAATATTGAAAATATGGAACAATTGCCATGAGTTATGGGTCTGTATGGAAGAAAGATGGTAAAATTTGAGAAGTAGATAGAAGATTTTGTTGTTGTTGTTTAGTAATATGTAAGTTAGATAGTTTATTAATAATGTTATTAAAGCAATTTTTAGAAATTACTGTAGTTAGAAAGATATCCATTGCATTCAAGCAAGAGTATTGACGAGAAGATGTAGTATATGTAATTTTGTAATGTTTGGAGGTAAAATTGGTATGGTATTTGTTACAAAGACAAGTAGATAACATAGGTTAAAATGGCATTTTGAAGTAATATTGTTGCTTATTAGGTTCATATTTTGTAAAGTTAATGTCTTTAGATAAGATGCGTAAAGTAAGTGAATCAGTTTCTTTAGCTCCAATGCCAAAGCAATCAAGATATTTGTTATAATAATAGTCTAAATTATGAGAATCAGGTTCATCAGTGATTAAGGTAGGCATTTTGGCTTGATGTTATTATAATAATATTAAAGAGAATGATGATGGCTTTGAAAAAAAGTAATTATTAGTTCATGTAATGTTACACTCTTTGTATTACTTTTTGTGACTGGTATGGCTGTGGCTGGTATGGCTGGTGGCTGGTGTGGCTTGTAATACAATGTTAGGCTTGTGTAACTTCTGCTAAAAATAGAATAAAATATACACAAGATTATGTAATTTTAGAATAAATACAAATTTATAATTATTTGTTTTTGTGTTAATTAATTAAGGACTAAAAGGGAAATAGTTATAAAATGATAGTTAGTTGAGTGAACCACTAGAAAATGATGTTTAAAAACATGTTTGAGGTTCGGATTTGGAGGGGGTAAAGGGAAAAGAATAATTTTTTAGAAATTTTTAAGTAAATTAGCTGTTTGGAGTTTTTTGCTTATAAAATAACTAATTTTTGGCTGTTTTGATGAAACTTATATCAAAATGAAGCTAGAGGTGTGCAGAACATCATTGTCTTAGAATACAAGACAAGTTTCCTAGGCTTTATTTGAGTATAAGTGATTTTAAAGTGTTTTGACAAATAGTTATTTAATTTATTTAATATTTAAGTTAGCGATATAAAATTTTGTATATATATATAAAATAAGATAAAGAACAGATTTATTATATTTAAAAAATATATTTAATTATAAATTGTTAAAGAAAATTAAATTTTCTTTAGCAGAATTTTGGTACAAGTGATTGTCAGAAAGAGTTGACAATTTGTGTCCTTATACAAAAATTGATTAAAATACTATGATTAATTTTTTAAATAATAGTAATCATAAAGTTCAAAGTAAATATGATGGATTTGAATACATAACAACAAAATATATATTCATGACAAGTACTAAAGCACCTGAAGAAGCATATAATTTTAGTATAAGATTAATTGATGATGATTTAAACAAACATGATTTTGAACAGTTTAATAAACATCTTGATTTTGTAATTGAATTTACAGGTAAATGGAATGATGATATAGAAAGAAGAACAACAGAGATAATATTTCATAAAGTTGATAAGATAAAATTTCTTAATATGGAATGAGATGTTAAATATAGGAATAAAGAATTTACTATAGAAAAAATTATAAAAAAAGGTGAAATGTTTACAAAAAATATTGATAGTGAACATAGAATTAAGCATGATACTGTTTATTAGTGACAGAATTTTTCAGAATTTAAAAAAAAATATCTTTAAGATTATCCCAAATGTAAAAAACTTTATCAGTATAGAGAGATAAATAAAATAATAAAGAAGATGTGATGATATAGAAAGTGAAAATATAAATAAACAATATAAATCAACAAAAGTAATTAGTGAAAATAGTGGTATGATAAATGAAAATATTCATAAAATAGAGAAAGAAATAATAGAAAATATTCCTGCATTTTTAGTAGAAACTGATGAAGAAGATAATGAAAATCAAAGTAATAATAATAGCAATAGTGATAGTGAATAATTTTATTAATAAATTAATAATAATAAAAAGTATAAATAGTTAATTTAATTAATTTAATTTATTTTTTATTTAATAAAATAAAATAACTGATTTTTATTTATACATATAGAGTTACTGCAAGTAGAAAAATGCTTTATTTTCATGATACTTTTAACAGAAATTTTATTTATTATAATCATAAAAATAAAATATCAAGAACAAAATTTTTTAAACAATCTAACATAAAAGTTATACATAAAATGATCAGATCAAATACAAAAATTACTAAATTTTTTATTAATAAATTTAATAATGAAAATATAAAATTTGTATATTTTGAATCATTATATCCTATAGAATTTTATAATATTGATGAGAACCTTAAAGATAAGATTGATTATATTATTAAATTTAATGAAAATTATAATAGTAGTTTAAACAAAATATTATATAAAGAAGTAGAAGAAAAATATCAATTTGAAAAAGGTAGTAAAGAAGAATTGATAAATAAATATAAAGAATATAGTTGTTTAAGAAATTAAAATAATAATAATTATTTTTAATAATTATATTATTAATTTATTTAATTTTATTATTAATATTTAGTATTTTAAATTATTATAAATAAAGTATTATTATATTTTTTTTATTTAATTAATTATTAAAAAATAGTTACAAAATATGAAAAGCCAAAATATACTCAATTTCAATATATTTCTGAGAATCTATCTATAGTTTCCAGTAACAATTTTGAAAATAAAGTAGCATGTTATTTAAAAAAATATAAATTAAAACCTAAAGTAATTAAAAATTATTTAATTAATGATGAATGATTATTATTTTGAGATAATAAATTATTATGTTCAAGATCTGTGATTTTATTAAAAGATGGAAAAGTTGATGTGTTAGAAGTAATTAATATTGGAAAATATAGTTTATTTGAAGATGATGGAACTGATATAATTTGTAATTGAAATAGTTATCCATTATTAGTACAGTGTAAATTTCATAGTATATATAATAATTGTGTTGAGAAAAAATATTGTATTCATAGTTATTAGAAAGCTGATATGATAAATGATATTAAAAAATTAGATAAAAAATTATCAGAATATAAAATACCTATATTTGGAATATTTATTATCAGTGAGGGAATAAAAATTTATGAAGATGTTAATAAATTAAAAATTATTAATGATATGATAATTGTTAATTATTCAAACAAATTAAATAAGTAAATTAATATATTAGGTGAACATTTTTTAGCAAAGACACAAAAAATGAAATGGTCTATAAGTCTTGATAATATAAAACTTATAGAATTACAAACAGCATATTGAATTTAGAACAAGTAGTCAATGATAAAGTAGAAAAAGTAACTAAAAAATTTTTTGAAAATACAAAAAAATACTTTATATTAGACAAGCATATTATATTAATAATTTAGATGACATTAGTAATAGTTTAGATAATTTAAAAATAGTATAATATTTATTAATTTATTTAATAAAAAAATTTAATTAATTAATTGATATTGATAATTTTATAAATATATTATAATATAAAAATAAATAAATAAAATTAAAGTTGTTTATTATTATCTAAATGTATTTCTATTTCATTAGATATGTGTACTAAATTACTTTGATTATTTGGTTCTAGTTTAATATATGTATTATTATTAATATTATTAAAATTATTTTTGTTATTAGTATTATGATTATTTTTATAATTAATTTCTTTTTGATTAATATTCATTCCTAAACTTATATAAAAATTATTAAATAATTCATCAATATTATTATTAAGAGTTAAATAATCATTTTCAAAATTTTTAATAGTAACAAATTTTTTAATATAATTTAAATATTTTTCTATTTTTAAAAGAAGATTAAGATTTTGGTATTCTTTTATTCTTCTATCAGAAATATTTAATTTACCTATTGATTTAATAATATTATAAACTTTAGTTTCTTCTTGAGTTTCTTTTTTATTATTTTTTTTTAATTTTTTATTAGATCATGATTATAATCTTCTAATGTAATTATTTTTTTTAACTTAATAAATTTTCTAATATTAATATTTTCTGTATGAGAAATTATAAAAATTATATATCTTGAATCTAAAAATTTATTTGCAATATCTATATTATTAGATAAATCATCACTAAAATAATCAATTAATTTTCTAGCAATAAATTCAACTACACTTTTTTTTACAGTTTTTTTAGAAATTTCTTCACTTAAATTGAATTGATATTTAGAATTTTTCATTAAATTTTCATTATTATTATTAATTTTAGATTCAAGTTGCATAATTAAATTATTATTAATAGGATTTTTTTCATTGATATAATTAAATATAAAATGAAATTCATTTATTTTTTAATATAATATTTTTTTGATTCTGAAATATCTATACTTTTAAGTGCTTTAAGTAAAAGTAATAAATTTGGTTTTAATGTTGACATTTTGAAGATAATTTTTTTTTAATTAAAATATTAATAAATTACTAGATTCTATATTTATAAAAAAGGGTAATTAATAATTAATATTATTTTTTAAAATTATATTAATAATATTTATTCTAGTAATAGTTTTATATTTTGTATAATTAATATTTTTATTTTTTAATAGTATTTTATTTTTAATTTTTAAAGATAAAAATATAATTTTAATAATGTATTTATATTTAATATATTTACTTAATAAAACAATAATTATTTTATGATTTATATTAGTAATGTATTTTAAGTAATTTGTAAATGGTATTTTATATTCAATATTTTTAAAATAATTTATTTCAGATTCATCAAGAGTTAAATTAATAATTAATTTAAATATATTTTTATCAGTAAATTTTGGTATTAAAATTTTTTATAATAGTTTTATTAAAAAATTGAAATATTGTTTATTAAGTAATATATATTTGAATTTTTTATTAATAAATAAAAAAATATTATAAATTATTTCTAATAGTAAAATCAATTTTTTTAATTATTTAATAAAATTAAAAAGTTAGTTATATAGTTTTCATAATTATTAATATTATTTTTTATAAATAATCATTATTTATAAAAAAAAATTAAATAACAAAGATGATTAATTTTATTATCAATATTGTTTTAATAATAAATACTATATTTTTAGTATTAAATATTATTAAAATATTGAAAAAAAAATTTTAAAAAACATTATACATCATTGTTATATCATATAAAAGAAATAGAGAAATATTAATATTAAAAGGATTAGGTAAACTTTATATAAATTTGTACTGTTTACATAGTAGAAAAGTTGAAAATAATAAAGAAATTGAAAAAGCTGCTGAATGAGAATTATTTGAAAAAACTGGTATATTAGTAATAAATAAACTTGCTTTAATAATGATTAATAATTATGAAAATAGATGTATATATGTTTATAAAATATTAGTTAGTAATTCAATTAATATTAGAAACAAAGAACTGAAAAAATATGAAAATTAGTTTTGAACTAATAAATTTTATAATTATCTATTAATTCCAACAATGAATATTTTTAAAAAAGAAATATTAAAAAATATTACACCAAGATATATTGTTATATTAGAACCTACAGGAGTTGGAAAAACAAGTATAATAAAATTATTAAAAGAAAAAATAGAAAATGAAGGATTTTCTGTAAAGATTTGTTGTGAATCTATTTTAAAAAGATCAGAGTATTTGTTAGAATATAAAGAAAATAATATTTAAAAATTTGAATATGCTTTATTAAATCAGTTTCATAAATGTTGAATTAAAATAGAAAGTTCAAAACAAGATTTTATTATAGTTGATCGTGAAGTGTTTAATGATAATGTTTGTAAAGAAATATATGAATTTGATAAAATATTATTAAAAATGAACATATTGAATTTAATAATTTAATGATAGTTTTTCTTATTTTATGTAATGAAGAAAATTTTAAAAGGAATTATTATAGTAGAAAAGAAAATAAATGAAAATATTTATTAGATGAATGTAAAAATATTCTTAGAGTATATCAAGATAAATTTAAGATTAATATTTGTAATGATGCAATTATTATTAATAATAATAGTAATTTAATTTCTTCTGTTATAAATATTAAAAAATATATTAATCCATTTTTAATTAAATTATAAATTATTAATTATTTATTTTTTATAAAAGATAGTTATTTCTAAATAATTTAATAGAAAAAAAAAAAGATTTAAATCAAATGATCAATAATATTGTTTTAAAATATCAAAATATATTTAATATTAATAAAAAACCTGATCCTAAAATTATTATTATTACTGGTCCTATTGGAGCTAGAAAAACCAAATTATTAAATTACTTAGCTAAATATTTATAAAATAATGAAAAAAGATTTTAATTAGTGAAGAAATGTCTTTAACATTAGAAAAAGAATTATCTATTTACTATAAACTTTTTGATGAAAATCCAAATAATCAATTAATAGTTTTTTGGTTTCAAGATTTGCTTATTAGAGAATATAAAGAGTATTATAATAAATGTAATTTTGAGAATTATGATTATATAATTCTTGATCAATCACATTTTGATACAAATTTCTTTACTTTTAATAGTATTAAAAATAGTATTCATAAAGAAATATGTTTATCTTATTTAAAAGAAAAATTAAATGAAATTAATTTAAAATATAGTCAAAAAGTTATTAATATTTCTGTTAGAAAGATAATTCTTTAAAAAGAATTTTTGAATGTAATCATAAATTGAGAGATGATGAAGAATATGAATTTTAGAAAAAGATATAAATAAAAATTATTATAAATCAATATATAATTCTTATAATACATATATTGATTAAGTATATCCTTTACATTTTTCATTTAATAATAATAAAGATTTAAGTGATGATATTTTAAAATTTTTTTGAATTGAATATATTAAAACTAAAATTAATTTAAATTAATTATTAATATATTATTATTATTATTTATATTGATTATTGATATTTTATTATTATAATATTATTTTATATTTATTAATTTTTTATTTTATATTTATTATTAATATTTATTTT